GTGTGTGGTAGAGAAATAACTATGAGCACTTTGGTGCTTCTACGTTGCTAATAGTGATCACCTTGCTCGCACGCACACACAAACAGGCGCGCGTACATGCACACCGTCCGGTTTATGACCACCATCAAACCAGTGCATATTGTTGAGACTTTTATTCGGGTGATCTGAACCCTATCCCATTAACTAAAACAGCAGTACCGGAAGTAAATAATATTTATTTACTTGCGTTATATATGTATCAGTTTCTTTACACGAATTCATTGTTTATCTGTGCTAACTTAGAAATCACTTTGTTCAGTATAAAGTGAATGATATTCTAAGTTCTCAGTTGATCAAACTATTTTTACCATCTAATGTGAAATGAGGAAACGCGNTTTTTCTGTCCCCGCCACTAGTGTTGACATTCGTTCGAATACGCTACGCTCAGGGGTATGGCGCGCACACCATCTGGATATGATATTGCCGCACATCAGACGCAACATATCTGTACTAATACGTTTATGTTTTTGCTTTAGTATTCAGTACCGGTAGGTAACCACAGAATAAGAGAGACCGGGATGAAATGACAAAACTGTTTATGGTTTCCTACTACCTACCGATCAATCTCACTTAAAAAGCTTAAATATTTCCACCCAGAATTCGGGCATGTCAAAGTGATATGATATGATTGTTGAGTCAGTCACAGTTTGCGATAGATAAATTAGTGAACAGATGAAAAATATGTGACGAAGTATTTGTAAAACCCTTTCGAACAGCATCTATTTGGTCTGTGAAACAACCAACAAATTCAGTAAATCTGAAAAGCTGTAATCGTTCGACTCGTGTTAACCATCCTCAAGTTTTGCATGTCGAGTGGTAGCAGGGGCACTATACGCATACAGTCCCTAACGTATCTCCTCTAAAGTGCTATTGTCTGATTCAAAGGTATATTAACAGTTCACTTATCGTATATGTTAAAGCAGCGTTACACTTCCATGAGATATGCGAATTGTAAACCAATCTTATCTATTTGCAAAATTCTCGGTTTCAGGTTTCCATATTCTATTGAAATCTCATGAGATACATGACCTCTATTGTTCCCATTTCGCCCTTTCGCAACACCTAGATTAATAAATGAACAAACCAATCACTCAATCTTTCCTACACTTCACAATGAAGGCAACTCACCCCGGGGGTAATAAAGCTTGCAAAGTAAACCCAGTTTTTGGGATGCGCACACGAATAATCGGGATATCGACTTTCTCGAAAACTAACTTCGCTATCAACACGCCACATACAATGTTGGGAATGATATGAGGGAAAAACGCAAACAATTGGTTAAATGCAGCAACGTCGAATGCGGCAACATAGTCACCGGATTACGTAACCGTTACAAAACTACAAAATGATAATGTATAAGAAAAATAGTTTGACCGTCAGCTTCTTACTCTCGCTCTCTCGGTGTCTCTCCGTGGATCTCTCAATCCATAGCACAGTGTATCATCTCGCTACAAAGAACATCTCCTTCATGCAAATAGATTGTCCCTGTCGTAACTGCATTCTCCTTCACGGAAACTCGAAAAACGGTAACCTAACTTGAAATGGACGAAACTATCGCATCACTTATTTGCACATCAGTTTTTCAGAGTTCGTCAGTTCTTGTTGCTCTCTGCGGATCGTGTTTCATACCAAGCTGCTTGGAATGTGTGTGCTAAGACATTTTATGCACATTTTTTGTAAAAGAAATAGCAGAATTCCGGAAGCTCCCACGTGAAATTGATTCGTGAAAATCGATTCGAGTGACACCCAAACAATGCTGATAAACGACATTCGTCTTGGGACGTCCTTATTCTCGACACCAATTGCTTTTTGAAAAACAAACATATTTCACGCAGTAATTGTGAGCTATTCGCAAAAAAGTCTGACGTGTTTTCTGATTGGAAAAAGGACGGGATCTTTGTCCGTCCATGGACGACCTCGGTTACACATTTGAATAATCGAATTGTTCGGGTGATTCTGGTGACACGAGGGGAAAACTGAAAAAGCTCAAACATTTGAATGCGTGCCAACCCTGTGGCGGGGGTCAGTAATGTGGTCTGTGACAAATCAATTTGGTACCCGTATTACTTCCCTTCCAAATAATTAGCCAAGCTGTTCCGCAAGCATTCGTTTACCTCATGAATGTTAGAATTTCTCATTTACAACACATTCATAATATACATTCAGTCTCAAACTCGTAAATTATGCTAATTATTCTGTGAGCATTCGTATTTAGATAAACATGTATTGAATCTCTTTCAGTTTTCGTTCATTAATTCCATCAGTACATGAATAATTATGTGACGTAACCCCTTGGCCTATAACCGCACTTACTCACTCACGCGCACACACACAATTTGTACGCAACAGTTAGCACAATTACGTCAACTTAATTCGATTTGGTTATTATGTTGTGATCACAGATAACCTACCCACCCCCGTCGACTGAATCCTCATAAACGTTGCTAGTCAATAATGAGTAACAATCGTGTTACACTCGATACAGACTTATTTATTCGATATTGTGTTCGATGAAGTTCCGCGATAAGCAACGCTCTATTTATGCATCACAGATTTTTTTTCATTTTTCGATCTCGTATACGATACGACATTGACCGCTTTCACATCATGCGAGTAAGAGAAAAAACAGAACCAGAATAAATTAATCAAATCTTATGTTTCAGATCAACGTTCATACAAAAAGATCTCAGCACACATTCGGGGGACGCATAGTCCAGGAGATGTACTTTCTAGCCTGATGGGAACCACAAATCGGTTATGAAAACCTGGTCGCCGTATGGCCAGCGTGGTTCTCTAACGGGGAAAACGCGAATGCCACTTCCACTGAAGTTGGCGATGGCGGTAAGTTAGAAACAAAAGTTCATACATGCACACCATGCACCCACTATTCGATCATCGCCACCACCACCACCAACACCACCACAACTGTCCAGATTCTAGCCCGCCTCAAAACTGACCTCACCAGACAGATAATAAAGTGTGCTTTGATGTTTGACAATTGGAAAAAAGGTGGCAGAAAAACAGTTGCACTCAGGAATCCAGTCATCAGTATCTGTACTCTAAGATCTGAATGTACCTTCATTAAGTATATTTGTATACATTCATTATAATCGAGTACCCATTAGCGTAAAACAATTCCATCCTGATAGAACACATTCATTGCAATTTCCAGTACATTGAAACACCAGTCGAACAAGTGGCAAAAGCCTTATAAGTTAACCCATAGAAGAAACAACCACAAAAAGTAAAAGGTGCCAATAGATCGGATCAGTGAAGTTTCAAATCGACTTGGAGCACATTTTATTCGGTAAACTTGATGACGTTTTGCGGTAAACGTCCAGGGAATGGCTCGATTCTGCCAACAGTGGAACTTGGGGGTTTCTCTGGCAATTGAAGCTTCATGTGAATTATGTGCCAAATATAGATCTCAGTGTCTTGTATTCAGAGCTTACATCTTTTTAATTACTAATGGGTTGTTAATCTGAGGCAGAACGAAGCTATAAGCATGAGCTCGGGGTTTCCTTTATCACGTTTCTATCAGGTTGCAGTCTTTTGGCCAGCAAAGAACAATATTCGATAATCCAATGTAATCACAGAAGTTCAGCTCTGAAGACTACCCGAAAAACCGTTTTCGAAATATGCTGTCTAAATCAGCCCACAATTTGCATTACATTACATAAGCATGATAGGCGACCGATTAGATATCATTGTTATTAACTAAGTGGGGGAAAACAAAATTGATTTTGTCATAACCCGGTAATATTCGTTTCACCACTTGTGTTCCGCTGATGCGATCATCGGTTGTTTCTTTCACCGAGGTGACTTGTTTCTTACCCTCACATCGTTCAGTTTATTCCCGTTGCAATTGTCTCTGACAAATTTTGACGATTCACATGACCGCCTGAACACATGAGCCGACTGACGAAACCATACCAGTTGTCTAACGATCGGACGAGGGCGGGGGCGAGTGGGAACAATAAACGCCACTCTGTCAGGGCCAGTCCGCCATACAAACATCTCCATGTGTCCCGTGCCTATGATGATTGCTTATCTCCGTTGTGCCCCCCCCATTAATTTAGACTTTTGCTGCACGTGTCTATGACATTATCGATCGATTGCCAATGCTGACGGATACCACATACGCACACTCGCTGACTTACTCTATCACAGAATCGATTTGAATGAGCCAATCACATTTCACTATTGAACTGTCCGCTCTGAATGATTTGTTGTCGGTTTGCCTGACTGACTTGACCGCATCCCCACCGACATGCAATGCCCTACCTATCTGTCTACATGACACTAACACGTACACAGCTGTCTTCTAGATCTATCTACTGATCAGTGTATCACTCTCTAAGCTGTGTGTGAAATGCGCTCCAGCAAGAAGAAATCGAATTTCCCGGTTAAGCTTATCGATCACTAACTAGACTCTCAATGGTCTGTTTCTTCTTTTCATTTATCATTTCTGATTCATTTTTTGTGCTTGAAAATTACATATGTACAGGACGACAAATGAGTGTGAGGAAAACGACACGAAAGATGAAGTTAGAAAAGAGAGGGAGAGAGAAAAACGCGCGTATTTGGGCGGCAGAGAATAGAGGGTCGACAAAACAAAGACTGGTTATGCGGGGACTTGGGTAGTAACCGTTTTGGCGGGACGCGAGCGGGGCGGGGAGGGGAGGGTAGTGCAACAAAGTTTATCGTTGTACTGGAACCGGCAGTGGTGGTGGTGGTATTGGCAATGTGCTTTTTAAGAACAGTATTATGCATAAACCACCTTCCGATACGAGAACTGATGTTCGCTGGGCGGAATAATCTTTGGGTCGTCAAATTCCCACATAGACGGAAATTCAAATGGGAACGTGAGCCACTATCGCGTTTCATCTCATCTCGGTCAGTCTTTCAGATATGACGGAATCGAGTGACATCGGTTCTCGAATTCGGTAAGCGTAAAGTTGTCATACAAAGCTCACGCCTTTGGGGTTTGTTGTTGTGGTCGTGTGCCCGGGGAGTTGAGCTGATTTGAAGTCAACACGAGGAGCACCACCGCCAATCAATGGACTAGCACGAGTACACTCCCCGCCGCCACTGCCGTCGGTACCACTGGTTGGACAACTGATATCATTGTTGCTCAAATTTGTGCTCGGTGCATTTTTACACAGTGCATCATTCGGACGTATTAGATGATCACAATGTGGAGAATTGGCTGGAGAGGATTGAGAGAGACGTGGGTTTGTGTTTGGAGTGATACCGGCTAGAGCCTGATCTGCAGCGCCACGTGAAGCATCCACGTCGCCGGTGTCGTTTGGTCGCTTGAATCGATGTAACTGCATGGCGAGATCATTCAACACGGTCGCTTTTTCTAAGCCTGCCTCGGTCTTGCCACGCATAGTCATTCCGCCCGGGATCTGCGAGCAGGTGGTAAAGGACGGGAGACAATGACTGATTGAAAAGAAAGAGAAATGTTTACATTTGTGTTTTAGATGCTTTCAAGAGAGATTCAGAAAGATAATCTTCACAGGTTTTAAAAATTTTGGCACATTATCCTCAACAAATTAAACAGTATAGCTGAAGAATTTCAAGGATCAAGACCCTTCAAAATATTTTACCAATCAATTATTGTACTGACTGTGGATGTTAAAACCGTGCATGGAACAGTTTGTCGCGAAATGACTTTCATCTTTCGTTGCTAAGCATACTTATCGTTTTAATAAACGGACCTAAATCGTGGAAAATCAATTTCTTTGCTCCGTTCATTTGGTCGCCTACAACAATCAATGCTTGTCCACGGTGATTTCTGCGTTTGTGAGTTTCACGTCAAAGGAAACGAGAGCGCCAAGTTCAGACTGTTTATTTGTCAAATTTGTGTAACATATTCTTTAATTTTCTTTCCATTTCCCTTTATTTATTATACCTAGTAACACAAACAATTTTCACCAAGGGCTAATTGTCATTGAAAAGGGTTCTTGCGCCTACGAAATGGAGTCAATTGTGCGGTGGCGGCAGGATTCATGCACTCATACGAGTTCGTCAGTTGCTAATATTACAACCGCTTTAAGGCCACCACCATTCATCTGAATGCGCTCCTCTTCGCAAATGTCCCAAATCCGAATTGTCAGCACGAAAAATGTAAATCATCAAACAAATCATCATAGTATAAGCGTACTTCATTTCGAATCCCATGTGGCTACTGATCTTTTGGTGAATCAGTCCAATGAAGTGTCTAGCAGAATCATACCCAAAACGACATCACTTGGACAAGTTACCTCAGCAGCGCGATATCATATGGCGGATTTGGGTCGATTCGGTGGAACTGACAAGACAGTCAGCTTACTGATCAGCTGATTGATTTCATATTCCTATACAAAATTAGGGATAGATTGACCATTCTAAACCCGACTAAGGCTAGTTCACGTCCAAAGCATAAACACATGACTATTGCGCGCTAAAATATGAGAACTGGACAAAATCGAGACATAATTCGCTTTGACTACGGGTGGCCCTATAAAAACATCTTTTACCTGTCCACAAAACAACAGCATATCCGTATGTTCTAAGCAATATAAAATAAACAATAGTCCATAATGCATACAGATTGCATTTTGTATTCTTTCAGATAGTCACTAAAATTCACCAACACGATGTAGCACTGAACGAGAATGTTAATATCATTTAAATACTGATTTCAATATCATTACTCGTCGAATGCGTTTCCACATCCTCGGTCTTGTTCAGCTAGAACTCAATTTTAACGTTAAGATTAGATTTCAACGTCTATTAATGCAACGAGATCACAATTTGTACGGCATTTGTGAAATAACCACTTCCCTTTGGATGCATAAACCGAGTCTACTTGATTCTGGCTCCTCCCGTATTCCAATGTCAACAAATGCTGTGCACATAGCGAAACAACTTCCCCGTGATAATCGGATTTGACTCGATCGGCTTTTAATCAAAAAATTCATTTAAGATCGGACAGCTACCCATCTTAGATGTATTATTAACAAAGTGTGATGATGGTGCGATCCAAAGAAGCGCCTTCCACAAAACAACTTGGGTTGGAGAGTATAAGCATTTTTCTAGCTTTGTCCCCCTGAAATAGAAACGCTACCTGGTCAGATGTTTATCATACCGAGAGCGTGCGATTTGCCGCGAGGATACACTGCAGTCCGAGATACGTTTTATTCTTGACGTACTTTGGTCAAATGGTTTCCCGGAAGCTTTTATTGATAAACATATACGTTTGAAGACCAACAAAAGCAAAAGCCCGACTTTCCCTCACAAGAACGTTTTCCTTACCGTGCCTTTTAAGGGTGACGATGCCCTGGAAGTTCTCAAACGACGTTTATCTAAAGGGATCTCTAGAACGTTCCCTGCAGCTCAACCGTATATCCTCACTACCACTGGGCCCTTGGTGTCCCAGCAAATAAAAGGTAACTTGCCTCTTCAGTCCATATCCTTCGTTTTATATATTTTCGCGTGAACTTGTAGAGTGCGATACATTGGACATAAGACCGGGAGATTATCAAAAAGGGCCCTCCCTAAAGGAATGGTCAGAGGTATTCGCAGCTCGGTTCTCGGTCATCTCGTCGATAGCGAGCATTTTGTGAACGAATTGGATGCATTCAGAATTATTCACACCATTCTCGGAGATATTACAATGGGATAAAGAGGTGGCTTTTAACCACGGCCGATTCAATTGCAATTCGCATTTTCAATCCAGAATTATGCAAGCATAAAGTGCTGGTCCAGACACTGTTGTTGCCCCGGCCTGGACAGCGGATTGATTGTGCATAAAACGAAGCATCAACCCCCCCCCCCCCCCC